TTCGTAAGTATGCCAACGAATAATTAATGCAAATGTAGATTTTCATAGGCTAAATTTATGTAATGATTTTTTCCTTACTTATAGGAAATATTCTGTGGCCAGAGCAACTCAGGTTTTGAAAGTGCCATATTATGTTAAGGAGAACTTTCATAGTGAATATCAAGGTAGCTTACGTAGGCTAGAAATTTCAATTGAAGAAGATTTTCTGAATAATTTAAGGCAAGCCTGTACCAGAGAGAAGAATTACAGTATGTATATATTTACTTCATTTATCTCCTTCAATATATTTATTATATTTTTCATTAATATTATTATGATGCCAATTAACATAAATTCCTTGTAAATATTCTGAAAATGTTTCAAATTTATTTTCTATAATCTAATTCATTTTCTATAATCTAATAGGGGAGAATATAATGTGGAAAGCCCGTAATTTTGGAGATCAAGATCTGTTCATAAAAGCAAAACATCTCGAAACACCTTCGTGTAAAAAACTACAAGAACTGCAAGCATAGTATATAAAACATGTCAACTAAAACAAAAGTTTTGTGTGTTGTAGATAGATGTATAATATACGAGTATTTACACATATATAATTATCTTTGAGTGTATAATGAAAATTTGTTATAAAATACAATTACGTATAAAATACCTTTATACACTTAGAGTAAATCAGAATATATTTCTATGTCCAACACTACAAACATATTTGGACTACTGTAGTCGTTCATTCCATGCACAAATCTTAAATTGCATAATGAACGATTCCTATGTAAAGTATAAATGAAGTTTTAATCTTTATTTATATATAACTTGAGTAAAAAATTAAATCTTTTTTCGTTTCACATATGATAATTTCTATTTTTTTAAAACAAATATATACATATAAATTTTAGTTAAAATATATATATATATATATATGTATATATATATTTAAAGATTGTTAAAAATTGTCTAGTAAATTAATATTATATGCATATGATTGCCTCTTCAGCTCTTCAAACAAATTATAATACTATGATTATATATATAAATATTAGAGTGACAGTCTTTCTAAATACTCAATTATTTATAACAAGCAAAATGAAAGCCTAGTACTTGTAAGTACGATTTCATAGATGTAATATAGATGGAATGAATATATCATGCATATACATAATAGAACACCAGACTTGCGGGTCCAATTTATTTCGTAATAATGCTTTTTTCAATTGCAATTGAAAAATTATAAACAAATCTGTAGGTTTCAATAATTTGTATTTTACATGTGGAATGTTATTGCACTGCTGATTGTTATAGTTAAGTATATGCCTTTCTAGCAACTTTTGAGAATATATACATTTGCAATTATATATATAATTTAGTGAAAACAAAAGAAATAATTTGACAAAAATATATATTCGAATTTTAATTTTCTGATTATACTATGACTTAATTACTTTACTACTTCTGAATTAAGTTTCATCTACCGATTTTAGTCACAAACATGTACGAAATTTAAGTTTAATTACTTTTATATATATATAGTATATATATACATATATATATTATATATATGTATATATTATATCAAATTCTTCAAAATTATCAATTTCAATTTTCTCCTGTCGATCTTTTGATTGCAGAGAATATTAACATAGGGTTGTTCACAGTCCGCATTGAGTTTGCTATAATTTTAATATATAAAGTAAATCAGTATTTCTAGCAGATTCTAATATATATCTAGAGTTGACAGAATTCTCTGGTATTTGTATAAATGTTCTATTCATCGTGTATCTGGATATATTTCTGAATTTTATTTTGATGTATTTTTTTGTTAGACACATCAACAGAATTTTTTAATATAAATTAAATATTAAAGATTATTGATAAAAATTCAACGATACTATGATAATGAAAATAATGCGAGAAATTATTTATATGTATAATATTTATTGCACATTATAAAATTAATTGTGTTGTAATAAATAATAGTTGAGAAAATGATTAAGCTGTTTCAAGGATATCCAAATTAATTATAAACATTAGTTGAAATGATATATAATAGCGTTTGTTTCAGTATATAATTATAAATTGTGCAATATGGTGTATAAATGGGGGTTTATAATTAACATTGTACAGTAGATTTTTGCACGTACATTATTTATGTTATTGCACAAATATAAATTATATTAAAAAAATTTTATATGTATTTATATTCCTCGATTGATTATTCTTTTTTCCTATCTAATTTGACGATTTCATTAATAAAACATTTAATAATTATAATGTGTGACTAAAATATGCCATAATATCTTCAATTATTTGCTTAATTTGTTATGTAATTTATGTATATATTATATATATATTTATTTTTTACATTTTGTTTTTTTGCTTTTTATCCCATTTTTTGTTTTCTATATCATCCAAGGTAAAATTAACTAATTTAGAAAGAATTAAAAAATACGTGGCAAGAAATATAATTGTCAATATAATGGTTGCAAAGAGGGAAAAAAACAAGAAACAGGAAATAAAGAGCACATTGTAGAAGAAGCTTTAGAATAACGATGTGCACTTCAAGAATCATCGAGAAAAATTCAAGTACGATTGGAATACAAAATTTTACGTAGTTGCACTGTACTTCTACACTTGAAATAGACACAATTACGTTGGAGAAAGAGAGTGAGAGAGAGAAAAAAAGAGTGAGTCGATAGTGTGCCCTGTGTGGAAGTATGTTACATCAAAAAGGAAAGTTTTAACTATGATGTGGTTTTAACAGCACCTGCTGTACGGAATAGCAAATTAATTATTTAGTCTCTCGTTTTTGTTAAAAGAAGAAAATGAAAGATGAATAACTGATGCGTTATTTCTTTTCGTGCAGCATGCATTTCTGAAATCTTGCTTTGCGAGCCGTTTCTCTTTAAGCGGCTTGAAGCTATTTAAAGTGGCTTCATTACCAATCTTGAACGCATGGTAAACATGTCACCGGTGCGAGAAACTTTGCGCGATTCTAGTGGCGATTCTGGTATGTAATATCGATAGGTATATTATTTTTATCGTTTTTCCGCAGGTACTGCAATATTCCATAAGATATTAAAATATCTCAATGTATTCACAATATTAAATAGGACGGATAATTTGCTAATTTTTCTATTTGAGGTTATGTCGTGTCGCACGCTACATTCTGATCTTGCTTTTAGGATCAGAATCCGATAATGTTTCCGCGTCTTCGAGGTCGAGTCGTAGTGGTAGCCGAGCATCGCAGGCTCCGGTACAAACGTCGAGCAATGCTAGGGGCGAGCATTCCGAGGACGAGAACGGAGCACCGACTTCACCCGCGTCGAACGCTAGCGGTAGCCGTGCCTCAAGATCTACCAGCCAGAGTCCAGTCGGGTCGAATAAGTTGGATGGCAGTCATCGATCGGAGAGTCCGTCATCACCGGCTGGATCTGGCTCGAGACGTTCAAGCGTGGGTTCTGTCCAGAGCGAGAAATCCGGTTCTCCGAGGTCCAGGAGTGGCACGCCAAAATCGGTAGCTTCTCATAGCTCGGCAGATTCTCCAAAATCTCCTCGATCGCGCTCGCCATCGCCACACGGCAGCGTACGCTCCTCGAGTCCGAAGTCACCCATCAGTTCAAGATCTGCACGTTCTAGATCAGCAGGAAGAAAATCCAAGACTCCAGCTTCTCCTGCATCCAACGCGTCTGGTTATGATTCACCGAAAAGTCATAGATCTCGAAGTGCTTCTTCTCAAAGAAGTAATAAGTCAGCAGGTTCAGCGAGTCCAACAGAAAGGCGATCGAATTCTTCTGCATCTTCGAGGAAGTTTGACAAATCAAAGAAAACAAGTTCTGAAAGATCTGACGATAAGAGATCAAGATCTAAAAGTCCCAAAAATTATAAAAGTGATAATGAATCAAATAAATCCTTCAAACAGACAGGTTTGATTAGTTTTATTAATTGCAATATTCAGAATATGCTTTTTATCTTGAAATTATTATTTGTATTATCTAATTAATTATTGTTAAAATATTTTCTTCAACTAGTTAATGATCATAGTCCAAAATCTGATGAGAGTGACGAAGAAGAACAATCAAAGAATAAACGGCAACGTAGTAGTTCAGGATCAGATACGGAAAAAATTGTGAAACGGAGTAAGCTGATAATAAATTCAGATTCCGACAATGAGACAGCTGACAAGGAAAATAGTGTCGCTCCAACTGCGGATGCATTATTTGGTGATGCAAGTGACATTAGTACGGATGACGAAAAGGATAAAAAAGAAGAAAAAGAAAAAGAACGGAGTCGCAGTCGGAGTAGAAGTAGAAGCAAAAGTCGCAGTAGAAGCAGAAGCAGGAGTAGGAGTAGAAGTAGGAGCAGGAGTAGGAGCAGAAGTAGGAGTAGGAGTCACAGCCGTGGCAGATCGGAAAGTGGTGGAGAAGGTCCAAGTAGAACTGTTATCGAAGACGTAAGTTAGAAGAGACAAGAAGTTTTTACTTTCTTTTTAATGATTTTAGAATGTCACTCTTTTAATGCATGGCAAGAAATGTGTAGCGGACTTTGACAAGAAGATTGAGAATGTTTGAACATAAAATTTATTCTATAGGAGGAAGATAAAGATAAAGAGGAAGAACCAGAACCACCTCCAGAGACTCGAATTGACGTAGAAATCCCAAAAATTACTACCGATCTAGGACGCGAGATTCACTTTGTAAAATTGCCGAATTTCTTATCCGTTGAAACAAGGCCATTTGATCACGAGACCTACGAAGATGAAATTGACGAAGAAGAAACTCTAGACGAAGAGGGTCGTGCTCGATTGAAGCTCAAAGTTGAAAATACATTGAGGTGGAAGGAATCATTTAGTGACGATGGCAAAATGGTGAAGCAGAGTAATGCGCGATTCGTAAAGTGGTCGGACGGTAGTATGTCGCTGCATTTGGGTTCAGAAATTTTCGATGTGTATAAACAGCCGTTACAGGGTGATCACAACCACCTCTATATTCGCCAAGGTACAGGTCTACAGGGTCAAGCAGTATTTCGAACAAAACTAACATTCCGGCCGCATTCCACTGAATCGTTCACACACAGGAAGATGACTATGTCTTTAGCCGATAGATCGCAAAAAACGTCTGGCATTAAAGTTCTCTCTCAAGTGGGAATGAACCCAGACCAAAATAGATACGAAATGATAAAGGTATGTATATATTATATTTTATAATTTCAATCTATGTATTATGTTCAATTGATTGTTATTGCATTTCTAATTTTTTTTTTTAGAAAGAGGAAGAAAAGCTACGTATGGCTATGCGAGTTCAAAACAAAACGAAGAAAAGCACCGGTGGTAGCAGAAGTACTAATCGTACCACAGGAGCGTACAGTGGTGATGCTTATCATGATGATGGTTCTGATGACGATGGTGCAATTTCATTAGCAGCCATAAAAAATAAATATAAAAAAGGAATGGCAATTCCTTCTAAAGGTTATTTGATATTTATTATATTAGAACATGTCTTAATATTCATAACATTATATTAAAACATGATCTTAATATTTTTTCTATTAAAAAAGTTATCCTAATATGTTTTATGTTGTACTGT